TTGGTCGATTATGAGAATGGAGGCGCCTAATAGACTAGGGGCACTTCTTTACAGAAACACACTCGAAGGGGGGCGCTTCTTGGAAGGAAGGCGCTAAATCGAATCATTACGCTAATGATGACACTATTTCTTAGAGGCCAGGTCTGAAAACGTGTGTAAATAACGACATTGTTTGGTCTGAAATAGGGTCAGAATTTGGAGATCTGGCGGCACACCCCCACCAAGAATTCCCTCGAGTACCCCACAGGGCTTTTTCTCCATAAAAATCTAGTTTGCATGACATGCGACGGTTACACAATCTACATGCAGTATGTTGGTGTAGAGGCGAAGTTCCGAATGTCAGAAAACTTACTTTACGACTAAGTGCAGGAGTGCAGGAGTTGTGTGTTGCTCCTGCCAATTTTTAATCCAACTTTAGGGAAGAGGGAGAAATTGTCTGAAAAAGTAGGGAGGAGGGAGATTCACCCTCCTGTACCTCCCCCCTCTTTAAACTCCATGCAGTTTACAGATATACGCAAGAGTAAAAAAGAATACTACGAATGAAGAGAATTAAAGGGTATAAAATATTGTCATTTTAACAAACTTTACCCTTTTCAAGCTTAAAAAGTTTACGTCTTTTTTTGGGTTCGTCGCTTTTTTCTTTCTCCTGTTGAGTACGATCAGCTTTTCCCACAATTTTGTTGTTTGCAACAGATATCTCTTTGGCTTACTAGTAAAGTTTAAACTTTAAAATCTTGCTGTTTTAAAGATTTCTACCGTTCCAGCGACTCAGCAGCAAATTACTTATGTTTGTTTTTGTTTTTGCAAAGAAGTTGGCCCGACTGACTTTTGTGCTCAGTTGCTGTCAAGATTGCGGTATAGCGGAATCCCCTTAATACGGCCACCAATCGGCCAAAAAAAATTGGCCTTATCAACGGGTGACCGTATTAACGAGGGTTTTTTTTTACAAGAAAATGTATAGCCCCGAGTGCCAGGCGGCCAAAAAAAGTGGCCGTAATAACGAGGTGGCCGTAAGGCGGGGTTTCACTGCACTAGTCTTGTGACGCTTGTTTCTTAAGGATCCACGATGACCTAAATCTTCTTTTTCTTCCTTTATGACATAGCGAGGGCAAAACAAGACGTATTTCAGTGGAGTTTAAAAAGATACCCGTAGATGAATCGTATCATTTTCACACTTGGGGGAAAATGCCAGCATGAGGTTAGGGTTAGAGAAATTATCGCCTGACAAATAACTGACGCTATTGCCGCGGGCTATTGTTTTTCTTCCAGCTTCTTAGCTGGACCATTACTTGATATCACTTTTTTTGTTGTTGTTTTTCTATAATCTGTCATATACTATTGAAACACAAACAAGCAAGCTGATTTGTCATTAGGCCCTGACAAAAAAAAGTCTAAAAAAATGGCTGAATTCCCTGAATGATACTAGAATTGCTATTTGAGAAAAAGTGGTAAAGACCAGTTCTTGTAGCCAGTGGTCCTGGGTATCGTTCCATAAATCAGAAGCGTTTTTTTTTTTAGTTTTCTGAAGAGGTAAACTGATTTTTTTCCTTAGTTTTACTCAGAAATTGAAAACTTGCTTGCTAGTTGCAAACAAAGTGCTGTATTGCTCTGGGGAGCAAGGGTGGCGCAGTGGTGCCAGAGAGCACTCGCCTCTCACCAATGTGGCCCGGGTTCAACTCTCGGCGTCGACGCCATATGTGGGTTGAGTTTGTTGTTAGTTCTCTTCCTTGCTCCGAGAGGTTTTTCTCCGGGTACTCCGGTTTTCCCCTCTCCTCAAAAACCAGCATTGCCAAATTACAATTTGGCCAGGAATCAGGTAGACGAAGAACCACTATGTTGATGTGCTACCTGCAAATCGTTATTATATTTATTTATTTATTGTATGTGAAAGGAGCGAAGAGACATAATTTACAGACGCTGACGAAAAATAGTTTAACCGCACCTAAAGTGAAAATAAAACTGACGTGGAAATCGAAAAAACTGGATCATTTCGTTTGGTAAGATTTTATTAGGACGGCTCGGGATTATTCCTAGCCTAAGTAAGTTTTCCTTTATTGGCGAGGCAAGTAAACCGCAAATTGAGTATCATGAGGTATCTCATAATGCAATACTTGGCTAAGCGCCGGATTCAACACGAAGTTGGAGCCAACCTGTTATCTCTCTTCCACGAAGGTTTTAGGTGCTATTTGCGTCATTGCAGAAACTTGCTCCACAAATTTACGTGATTAATACAGCGAAAATTCCTCTGGTAATTGCGATTGAAGCAGAGGTCACTTTCGTCCTTACAATTATGAAAAATTGGTTTGACCATCTGACTTCCTTAACTTAGGCCAAGGCCAAACGTCGAAATATATTCTCCCCAATGTCATTATTATAAAAGTTCAGTTGTTTTTTAGCCTGTTTACAATCTCTTTTATTTCCACCTTAGGGACTTTAGAGCGCTAGTAAGAATAAAACCGCGGGGGATTTGTTGACCGTTAGCACCAAGGGTGGGGAGGGGGATGGGAGGGGAAAAGAGAGATTTAAAGTGAAGTTTACGGCAAACAGCAAAACGTAGACTCAAGTTGAGAATTTCTCAAAATAGAAAATTAGCAGATAAACACAGTCAAAAACAATTCTTAGAGATGAAATTAACGCGAGACTTCTTATTTTTTTGTAGAAGAAAAGAGCACTTAAAACGTAGTTAAAGACAAGTAAAGGGAAAACTTGGTCACTTGGCACAGACTCTAAATCTATTGTTTTTGTTTATTTTTTTTTTCTTTCTCTTCTTTTTCCTCGCGCTCCGGGCTCGCCTTTTGTCAAAACGAAAGAGGAAACAACGTCTGTGTACACGCTAGGTAGGTCTGATTAAATGAGAAATTCTTACTAGTCGCGAAAAGTTGTACACTAAGGGTAGTTTGGGCGCGTGGAACAGAGCTTTAGCATATTATGGACCGACTGATCTCTACAAAAGTCGCTTCTACAATGTATTTTGTTTGACCGTTTTTCTTATGTTTACTTTAGTATACAAAACCGTGCTGTTTTTTAGAGTTCCTTAGTTCCCAGTATCTAAATGTCTGATAACGGGCTAGAATGACCATTTGATTATGTACCCTGTTTTCAGTGCTACAACTGTTCCATTATAAGTTTATTATTGCCTTCCTCTTTAGTGAAAAGTGGCCAAAAATTACCCTTCCAATGGTCTGGAAAAAATATATGGCCATTGTCACCACATGCACTCTCGCAAGTGCCTTTCTTAAGGATTCACCCTATTCACTGCATAACACCTACATTTTATAACAGAAATATTTTATTCCAGATCTAACTTAACTAATTAAGTACCATCAACAAACATGTGGCCACTTCATTACTACAAATTACCAAACAGAAAAGTTATAACCTAATATTATACTTGCGTTATACATGTGCTGTTCCAGTCAGTCACGTTAAACGCAGACCAGGCAGACTGCAGACCGTGCAGACCATGCAGATTGTGCAGACTGAGAATTTTTTACAATGTATCATTTTTATTTATTATTTTTTAATTATTATTTTTTTAAAGTTTTAAAATGTCACGAATGAAGATGCCAGGGCATAAAAAGACACTTAAGAAAACCTGAACACACGACAGAGCACATCAAGAAAGATTCTAACAGGTATTTTGTCGAAAAAGTCTAAAAGAGCTTAAGCTCTAAACCTTCGAGAGAGTGGAGTTCTCGATCGATACGATCCAGGGTAAACGTGTCAAAAATCCAAGATTGCTAACGTAATTCGTCACCTATGATATTAATAGGTAATCAAATGGTATACTCATGAAATTAAGGAATAATTTCACGCGCATTTTGTCCAAATCCTTATAATTTCCCGAGCCTTTAGGCTTGAGAAATTATTAGGATTTGGACAAAACACAAGTGAAATTATTCCCTAATTTCACTTGTCACTATTTGATTACACATACTTACTGTGTTCCTTCACAGTCTATGGCTAACAACAGATCACCAACTTTATTAAGGTCGGGGATATACCCTTGCTTACATGTGCGGTCAGACTTTTGTCCTTCCTCTGCTTTTTTCTTTTTCGGTCCAATTACAAGCAACAGAAAAAGTAAAGGTTCAGTTGCTATGGAGTCTTTGAATCATGCATTGATACAGTGTATGCAGGATTATATTTCTCAAATATTTAACTGACAGTAAGTAGGGCAAGTACTTACATTAAAAAAGCCAACAGAAACACTAGCGTATTGCCTCTGGACCTGTATTTCCAAAATTATGATGACAAATCCATTAAGTTAGGGTGGTTTGTGAAAGAGACTGCTCCATATTTATGCCACCATCTTGGAAGAGGAGAGCTGGAGCAAGTAACAACATACATTCTCATCTCCAGATCCCCTGTGTCACTCTTGGAAAAGTACTACTAAGGGTTGGAAGAAAAAAGATATTATACAGTACACCATTAACCTTTCCTGCTATTAAACGACACTGGTACTGACTTTACACCAGGAAGACCGACACCTGTAGGAGGAAGTTTTTCACCAAGCCATCACCTTTAAATACCAATTCTAGCTTTTCTTTTCTTTTTTCTAAAATATCGCAAGCAAGAAAAATTAGGATAAAAAAAATCAAACGATAAAAAATGAAAAACAAAATCTCAGTCTGCATGGTCTGCGTTTTAACATGACCGTGTTCCAGTTAAGAGCAGATGATATTTGTCTAGATATATTCCAGTCTTGCTCTTGAACAAAAAAAAAACACTTTCCATTGCATAAACTGAACCACAAAATATACAACGTGCCTGTAGTAAAATAGACTAGTCAGAACTATCAGACTGTTGTCAAACATAA